CTCAAACAATACAAACAATACAGAATTTCAGACAAGGTGATAGAAATTAACAATGGTTGTTGTACTGATAGCAGACAAAGAAATTTCAAGAGAACAAATTTACAGGTCTTTATAACCTCAAATATGATAATCTTCAAAGAAATATTACTAAACAAAACTGAGAAAAACAAAAGACAGCACTAAAAACTATGATCAGGGGAATGTGATGCATGATACAACTTTGTTTTAACATACAGAAGTAGTAGATATAATGTGTGAAGGAAAAGAAAACCATCTCAAAAGAGTCAGGGAAAATATTGGACATGTCCAAATCCAGACTTTTAATTGAAAAAAGTTTAATTAATCAGTATAGAAAGTATATTTCTTCCCTTAAAATGGAATCTGAATAAATTCAAGGAGCATCATACCATAACATAGAAGACTCACTTTCCCAACACCAAAAATCAGAGAAAGATGACTATTCTTGTCACTTCTACTCGACATTGTGCTGGGGGCGGTCACACGGCTGTGAAAAGAGGAAAGAAAATAGAAGGCATCATATTTCTTACAATTTTCCCATGGCAACAAGCTCAACAGCATTTATTTGTCAAAAACATAGTCTTGTCTATAAAATTCTAATGGAATAAACAAAAATTTTTTAGACCTAAATAATAAATACAACAAAGTTTAAATGTATACGATCAATACGAAAATGTATTTAAACTCCTACCCTATCCCATGCATTAACAATAAAAAATAAAACTTAGAAAACAATTACCTTCAAAGCTCAGAAGGTGGGTGAGGGGTGAGTGAGGGGAGGCTGGAAAGGTGGTGGAAAATGATCAAGATGCTGTATGTATATACCAACCTGTAATACAAATATGATTATTATGCATCAAAAATGTGTTCTGATAAGAAGCAAAGTAAAGTGAGAGAAAATTAAGTAAACAAAAATTGCCTACACATCACACTCATCATTTCCTATGCATTATTACTCTTAGGGCCAATTAGATGCCTCCTAAGAAAGCCCCACATTAATTACAACCTGTGAGATTCGCTTATTATTCTAGTGAGAGATTACCTTATTATCCTAGTGAAAATCTCTCTACAAGTTCAGATGCTGGTGATATCATTGGGAGATGTCAAGGGAAGGTTCCCTCCTGAAATTCTTGAAAGCATTTTGAGAACAATGATATTATGGCTACTCTCTGGTCCATAGAATTTTGACTCTATCAATTTTAAGATGAATCTCTACAGATTGGAAAATATTACTCTAGCACTGGTGGAGTAGACAAGGTTTCTTAGTGAATGTCAGATTTGCAATGGAAAACAACTGGGGCTCATTCCGAGCTTCTGGTTTGTTACCGAAAACACACTTGTTCTTTCAAAGAAGTTGACCAATAGAATAGTATCTACCTACTACCTAGCAATTACAAACAGCAGAGTTATTAGAATACTGGAATTCATACAGATTCTTCTCAATTAAGAACAGTTATGTTTCTAAGTTTCTAAGGCTGTTCTCTCTTTTACTTCTGTTCCACATTGTGCTAGTATCCCTAGCCAGGACCATCCACACAGAAATCAATGTAAAGCATCTATGTTATAAAAGAATAAGTCAGATTTATGTGAAGACAATAATTTGCGGTATAACAACTATTGGTGATTTCCTTCCATCCTGTCTAGTGAAACTATATGCTGTCTCTAATGTTCTTTTTAAATTATTATTTTCTTATTCCCTTTAATGATTTGATCAATCTTCTGTTCTTACATCTGGTAATCTGAGCAACTTTGTTGAAGATAACAATATGTAATATAACAACCATCGTTAATCCCTATCATTTGGTTTGAAACCCTGTATCATTTTAATGTCCTCGCTTTGTTTTGTTTGTATTTTGCTATTGTTCTATTTTTTTTTTTTTACTATTCTTTTTAAAGTAAAAAAAGAATAAGTCAAACTATCATCATTCTTTGATAATTCATTGTGGGTACGGGATTTCCCAAGAAATCGCCTGACACAGTATTAAAACTGAAGAACAAGCTCATAAATGTAGCCCAATACAACGTCAATATATAAAAATTAACTCTATCTTCACACTAGCAATTGGCAACCTAGACATTAAAATTACTATCTCCGAAGGCTCTACCTTCCACATTCAGGACAGGGCTCTTGGTACCTTTAACTTCTGATCTTACAGCTGAGGCATCAGGTTTTCATTGTGTATAACATTTGGTATAGGTTTGCCTTACTATTTTTCTACTAAGAACTCCTTTAAAACTATGCTTTGTTATTGTAGCAGTTTTTACAATGAAACTATACTCAAACAGTTCTAAATTGTACCTCCTTCTTCTGTGAAGCTTGTCCTTTAAAGAGATTTCTTATTTCTATGTGAAATTTCATATTTTGCAGAGTCTTGTAAACAAAACTTAAATTCTACTTTTTTCTTTTTTTTCCAGAAAAGAAAGGGGAATAAAAATTAATTAAACAGAGGATGAATCTGATAACACAAGGTCATCCATGTGACCAAATTAACAGTAACAGTGAAGAAGAGCAGGTGTGTAGGGCAGCTGCTGGTGTGTGGTTTTGAGAGTGGAAGACTACCTCAGTGGACTTCCTGTTTAAAAACCAATGGGAAGGGGCAGGGGATTTAGCTCAGCAGCAAAAGCGCCTGCCTGGCATGCGCAAGATCATGAGTTCAGTTCACGGTACAGGAGAAAAACAAAAAAACAAAACAAAACAAAACAAAAACAATGGGGAAAACATGAGGAAAATCAAAATGAGGGCTGCGAAGGCCACCCAGAAGAAAATGTACATAAGAATCTGTCCCAGTCATACGAGCATAATGAGACAGAATCTCTGTAAGATATTCCAGAAGAGAAAATGGTTATTAAATGAAAAATAGGCAAATGTCAATCAGGTGAGTGTGTTAGTGAATGATAATGTATATTATTGGATTTGTATAGTAAACTACATACCAGTGTGGGAGATTAGTAATAACCGAAGTAAGGGAGGTGATATGAGAAATTTCTGCTGCAACCTGGAAACTCTATTAAAATGAAAATCTATTTAAAGTTAAAAAGTCAAGTTTAAAATTTGAGCTTCATGTTGAGCTTAATAAAATGAACATTAGCGATACTCATCCTCCATGCCCAATGTCACCCTTTTTAACCCACTAAAGGTCACTCTTATTTCTAAATTCTCTGCCATTCCCTTCTTTCTGTAAACTTATATTTACAAGCCTTTGACTGATGCGTGATTATAATGTTATCAGGGGAGGTTCAATGCCTGCCTACTAGAAATGGGCACATCCAGCACACAGAAATCAAAGGACGTAGCAAGAGTCACTAGCACCACCAATCACATGATGTATTTGACATCTCCTAAGGAGTATTCCATCTAGCAAACAAACAATTCACATTCATGTTCAGTCTACATGGATCATGTGTTAGACAGTCCACATTCTTGTCCTTAACGCATGCCTCCAAAATTTCATAATTATGGGAGAATACCTGCTCTCGGTCACAGAAGGAAAAAGGAAACAGCCCCAAAGCCATGGTAGTCCTAAATGCACCTACAATAGCACATGGGTAAAAAGAAAAATATTAGTGGCAGATTTGTGGCATGCCAATGAAGCAGAGGTTGAGTGGAGACGGACAGCTCTGGATGCACGTGTTAATAAAAGGGAATATTCAACATGCCAAACCTGACCTCTGCTTAAGGCTATGCAGAGCTAACATAGAACGGGGAGACATTAGTCTTCAGAAATGATCAAACAAAGGCCTGCTAATATGGGGCAATTCCTTTTGTTTGCTAGGCTAGCAAATATATTAAATATTAATATCTCCAAAATTAAAAATGTAGAGAACTATTGCTATGTAGGAAGAAAGTCCAAATGTATATGTATGAAACACATGAGAAATGGAAGAGGGTGGAATGAAGAGAAACATGCGAGATGTTGCATGTTAAAGAACATGCGAGATGTCATGAAGAGAAAATCATATCTACATGTTCACATTAAGGAAAAATGCACTTTGAGGGCCCAGCAAAGCCTACTGCGCACACATAATATGCTCCCGTAAGCCTGCAGTGTTGCTCCAGCTCACCCCTCTGTCCGCGTAAATTTCCCTTATCTTCAAGGAGATAGCAGGTAGATTTTTGCAGAACTGAGACGGAAGAAATGAAGTAGTCCAGCCGATGCCTAGCATTTTAGGGAAGAAGAAAACAACATGATAAGGTTCACATGTGCCTTGTGACAAAATTGCGGTGGCTGCATTCAGGGACTCTTAGAAGTGTATCTTAATAAGTTAGTGCCTTTTTGAACATTTAATTTGAGTGCCCTATAATGAAGAAATAATATTCAAATTTTCTTACTCATAGCACTTGGGACCAAATTCTTCCTTGTGGTTCCTAGAAAAGTCTTTGTTCCTGTCTTTTATAATCTAAAATATTTTAAAGGAAGTTACCAAGAATCCCAAAGAGATAATGTATAGCATGTGTGTCTCCTAAAAGACATATTTTCAATCCATTAAGTAATTGGTGAAGCTTCAAAAGATGAAAATATTTTAAGTAATCCTGGAAAAAGATTTTTAAGGACAGAAATGAGTGTCAGCACAAAAATAAAAATCTGGTTGTACATGATATTCATCTGACCAAAAAATTCAACTTTATACTCAGTTGTAAATATTTGTCAACAGAATAAAAGACAAGAATAAATATAACAAGGCTAGGGCTGAAGCTGAAGCATGCTGTGAACCTGCAGGACGATTCTTTAACATTGTCATTCATTATACAAATGATCTGACTTTTGCATTTAATCTCAGAAGATGGACCTAGAGCACCTGCACTTTTCTGGACAGAGCCCACAGAGAGGCTGAACTCAACTGGGTTGACTTTGAACCCGACCTTCTTGGGCGTGGTCTAGCGGAGGCCACGCCCACTGGGTCCTCTGCGCTTGTGCTATAGCAACCTAAAGGTACCTGTACAGGCTCCTGCTCTCCCGGACTTGCTGATGGAACAGGAAAGTCCCAAGGCTTCAGAGTGCTGGTGGAGGGGCGGCATCGAATGTAATTTGCGAAGACTGTAATAATAAATTGGGGAGGAAGTTTTTGCAGTACTAAATCCATCTTTACTCGAAAATATTGCTCTAGAGCATTGCATGTTACATGCTTCCTTCATTATAAAATACTACTGTGATTAGGAGAGCAAGCTCTGGAGGGAAGAACCTTGGCTTAACGAGAGTTTATTTGACTAAGAAAATATTTTCAAAAAAAATTGACCAATATAAAAGGGAAAGGATGAGTAAAAAACAGACACCAGGATATATAGGAAAATACTCTATAAGTTAATGGAAAAAACTGATTTTTGAACAGATGTTGTAGGAAGCAATCTATAAACAGGGAAGTAAAAGTCTGACCTGTAATCTCACAGCACACACAAATCTATTACAGGTGGCTCAGAACTTTAACTATAAATGCAATACAATTCATTATTAAAACCCAAGAGAAAAATAACTTCATGATGGTTAGGTAAGGCAAAACTTCTTAACTTAAACCAAGAATGTATGTTTCACATAATAGAAGGCTATGCTAACACAGCTGATGTGAGGAAAGACTGCTGACAGACTGAGTCCATCTTAAGTTGTTGTGCATTGCTTTATTGCAGGGCTTTAGCAAAAATTCAGAACTGGACGATGATAATGCTAATAAAGCCTGGCTCTGCAGATGTTGGGAGGATGTACTAACCCACAAACATCCAAAGCTTGTATGCTATTATTAGCGGGTCTAGACTAACTAAACATTACATTTGCTCATACTGAGGTCTTGTTGGTAAGATGTATAATTTGCATTATTTATGATACGATTGTTTCATATAACTCTGAAACAAAACCATTGTAAATTTCTGAACAAACTTTCTTACCACTTATTTTTATCTATTATCTACAAAAATCTTTCCTCTCACTCAAGTATGTGTATTACATCAATCCTATGTTTACTCCTACATGACACAGAATACAAAATTAAAATAAATTACCAAAGGTATTTTAAATTTTTCTGTTCAGACCAAATGGATCTCTTCTCATTTCACTTTGCAGGTAGTTTTCCTATATACAATCAATCATCATCTGTGATAATCTGTGGCTGTGATGATGCAGTATATATCAGGAAAGTCCTGTAGTATCCTTGTGAAATTATCTTTACAACCTACAGATAGACCCTCTGCAAAATGTGACAAACGTGGTATCACTGTGTGGGGCCCATGAATTTTTTTTGATCAAGTTCTTTTGTGTGTACCTTAGAATAATTACATTATTACTGTCTTCTGGCCAATTGTATTTTTATAACATCAATCTTAAGGTGCATCCACATTTTAAAGATGTAAGAACACATTGTATTATGAATGTAATAAACAACTTATCTCCATGATTTCTCATTTCACAGGTAAAATCTTGGTGGCTAATGTCTTGTATCCTGGTCTATTATTGAGGAAACATATTTAGACTTATTTTCTTATGAGCTGACTACCTCCACCTGCCACCTTCATAGCTTTTAGAATTTTGAGTGGAATACTATACTGAATTCCTATAATTTTATAGTGTTTTCTGTTAATTTGAATATAAATTTAAATTTCTCATCTCAGTATCAGGGATTAGATGGCTCCCTCCATCTTGTTGGACCTGTGAGATGAGCTGGCGTCTTCTCTGTGAGATCTGTATGTGATACAATGCTTCTGCTACTTCATGCAGCCCACTGAGTTGCAGCCTGTCTCTCCCGTGACCAAGCAAGTGATCCAGCCCTGTTTTTCTGTCTGTGTGCTTTGTCTAACCGGAAAACTTCATTGGAATGACCTGCACCCATGGCAGACAAAATCCACAAAGGCATGTGCTGGCGTACAGAAGTTTCTGGTGAGAAGCACACTGCCTCACTGTCACACCAAGACATTAGGACGTCTACTAGGATAAGGAAGTAAGTAATGAAATGAAACGCATAATGTAAATTTCCACAGCCTGTATCCCATAAGACTCACAGACAGAGTTTATTCAGAGACAACCTGAAGGCTCTATTCATATGGAAGAAAAGTGTAACTTATGTGCAGGCATAATGTGTTAAACTGGGTGTCAAAATCCATTAGAAAGGCAGATGGAAATAGGAAAGAGATACTTGAAAGTGTGCATGATACTGGTGGCCTTCTAAAGACTTAGAGAATGTTCTCTGTGGAGAATGTCTGCGCTGAATTTGGCAATATGACCGACACTATCTTGAAGCTGTATTCTAAATTTAATTATTGAATCAAAAACAATCGTATATCTAACGTTTTCCTCCCTTATTAACCTATTTAATTACATGAATAGCGATCACTCAGATGTCCATCTGCCTTCCCTGCAGATGCAGGTGCACCATAATCTTCAGACATGTTTTGCTTTCCCCCGTTGCTATTTTTTTTTTTTTTTTTGGTTTTTCTCCGGTACCGGGAACCGAACTCACGACGTTGTGCTTGCCAGGCAGGCGCTTTTGCCGCTGAGCTAAATCCCCAGTCTCCCCCCCCCCGTTGCTATTTGACCAAGTCCATGTTGAGAATATGGAAATTGGAATGGGTTTTGGCGTTCCCTGCTCATCATTATATTGAAACAATTCATTGTTGACTGTGTTGGCTGGAGGTTACACCTATTAATTCAGCATCTGGAATTGTAAATCCAGAGCAAGGCCTGATCTCAAATATTTGATTCTTGTATTCCTGGACACCTTAATCTATTTAGAAAAGTGCAGATACAGGGTGTAGGTTTCTCACCTCACAATGTGGTCTCATCTGGGAAGCTGGCAATGGAAACTTTCTCACTATTCAGGAGGCGAGGCCAGCCTCTGTGGAAAGTATTCAAATTCTTTGTAGGTAGTGGTAAATGCTGCCTTTCATGCTGTCAGTCACGTGTGGGAGTGGAGTGCGCAGCACCGTGTCCTGTCTGTCAATGGTATCATATTACAATGCAGTATTTTGTCTGTTTTCCGTGGTGTCTGAACTGTGACCAGTTAGGCTTCTTAACGGTGTTTTCCGCTCTGAGGTGGTTACCTCTGTCCCTGTGTACTTCTGACCATGTCCTGATGTGCCGTTATGACCTTCACAGTTGTGCTCGTATGTGTGAGGCATTTTTGGAAGAAATATATTCACAGTATACAGACTGATCACCTGTTGAAATTAAACACTACAGTGGAATTAATTCCATCACACTCAATAAGAGTTCCATTGAAAACAATAGGAACAGAAAAATATTCTGATACACCAGTGTGACTATCAACTGCTTTTATCCTCTATCAACAAGTACAGAGTGACTCTGTAGGGGGTGAGATTCTTTACAATTACAATTGCCGAGGAAGAGGAACTGAATATCTGTTGTCCTTACAGCTCTGCAAAATGAGAGCTATGGTCCAGGCCAGCTATATCTCTCCTCCAGATGCCAGAACCTTGTTTGCTCACTAAGGCAATGGATGTGGTGTTTAAAATATGGCCATGAATACAGAACACGAAATCCGGATCCCTGTCTCTGTAGGAGTCCGTGGAGTACAGAGTGCAGTCCTAGTGCTGCCGTGGCACGGTTCTGTGGCTATGAACAGGTGCTGTGTGGTAGCGAGTGTGCAGTCTTCTCCTACGTGGGCTTCTTTGCTCACAGCACATGTACAAGTCCTCGTTCAGCCTACATCCATCTCTTACATTGCTGCATGAAGTGTTGGGAATATGTACTTGTTTCAACTGTTTTTTTTGTTTCATGTTGTACCAGTGTATCTCCACGTTGGTACAAGATGATCTATCTGCTTTTACCTGACAAATACCTGAGCAACAAATACTCATTTTGTATATGTGTGAACAAACATTAGACCAAACCACTATTTATTTTTAAACAATGTATTTTTGCATGCACTTTATAAGTGACCATGACAATAGCTATTCTGCAGCTCTTGGGCTTAGCAATATTAGTGATAATAGACTACATGGTCCAGAGAATTCTTGATGAAATCTATAGGGTAAAAGGAGTCAGTTACCAGATATTCACATTAACTTCATAAAGCTATCTTTGTCTTTGTAGAATCTAAGCAAACCTGTGGGAAGGCAACAGTCTGGGGAACACAATAAGATGGGTCATGTAAGCTGCCGCTGATCCCTGGATTTGGAGTGCTCTGCAAGAGCCCAGGGGGAAGGGTTTATTACAGTCTTGTGAGTATGGAGAGGCGGGAGAAACTGTAAGAAGTGAACACTGGTGTCACGCTTTCCCTGGGTATTGAGAGACTGTAGTCTCCTCCTTCCTCTGCTTTCCCACACTGGCCATCAGCTGAACTGTTTTGTTCAACCACATGCCCTTCCCTATAGTGTATAGCCTCACCATGGGCCCAAAAGCAGTGCGGTGAAATAACCATGGACTGACAGCTACAAAAAGTGAACCAATATAAACATCTTCTTCCTATTAGTTGCTAATCTAAAGTATTCCGTTACTGTAACTGAAAGCTGACCACTACACGATGCTTGTGTTCACAAGTTATGGATTTGAAAAAGCCCTCAGGAGAATCATCCAATAACCTGCCTGATGATGTCTGAAAATGGATTTTCTGGAGATTTGAGGGGCAAGGACTTATGTTTGAGGATGTGGTCACTGATAATCTAACTGGTGACTGTTAAGTGGGGTGTGTGATGTGGAAAATAGGAGCAGTGGCCTTAAAGCCTGAGGCGATTTCTGGGAAGCAGGCGCACCTGGGTTTGGAATGGAGGCTAGAAAGAGAAGCTGCTGTGTTATTCCCTGCAAAAGTCTATTCACTCAACTCCTGCGGCCAGATGTTACTTTTATGTCTTCAGCAGCTGGCTATAATAAATTGACTCCTTTCAAGATATGATTGTGAAATACATTTAGGTATACAGAGCTTTAAGGTGATACGGAGAGTGTCTTTCGATAATGTGGACCCCTTATATGAAGATAGTATGTTTAAATAAATTGTGAATTAGAAAAAGTACTAACTGAACTACAGGATTTCTTATTTTATTGGTTTTTATTTATTTTTTTTTTTTGCAAATTCCACCTTTTCTTTTCTATTTTAAGAACAAACCAAGGATACTAGTAGATGATGAGGTTCACTTCACTGACAGGTTTGTTAATTATTTGTTCTTGCTTAGCAGAGAACCATACTGCTGGGCAGCTTAATGCCTCCCATACATTACTCACAGCCTTGCTGTGTCAGGAATCCTCCCGCAGATCCTGGCCAAGGTTACAGTAGGTACTGAAGACTGAGCCAAGGAGAGATCCCCTTCTGAATTGATGTGACTGCTCTCAGGAGTTATTTCCAGTCAGGTCATGATGGTCTCACTGGTGAAAGATTTGGTACAATGCCTTCAGAAACTCTTTGAAAAGAAACACAAGAGAGGAAGATACTTCCTAACAGTATATGAGGCCAGGTTACTTTTTTTTTTTTTTTTTTGGTGCTGGGAATCAAACTCATGACCTGAGGCTTGCCAGGCAAGCGCTTATGCCGCTGAGCTACATCCCCGGCCCTAGGCCAGGTTACTTTGATACACAAACCCCAAAGATAAGTTAAAGATAAAAACATGTCCACATGTCTTATGAATACAAAGAAAACTCTTCAAGAAAATAGTAACATATGCAAGGGAACCAGGAAATAGGGGTGTGAACTCTTGGCCTGCTGGCTGTCGGTGTGCAGGGAGCATCCATTCAGCTCAGCCCGGGAGGCACGCGCACCTCTTCCCTCTGGGACCTCTGCATGTGCACTGATGGTCTTACTCTGACGCAGCAAGCTGCCTCCTCCTCTCTCACTTGAGCAACTCACCAGATCTGAGCTCCTCCCACATTCAGACTCTCCTAGAGAGTGGACATTCTGTAGTAATAGAAGAGACACAGGCCTGACAGGAATCACAAGGGTGTCAGGTAAAATAAACGTAGTTCCTGTGTGAGAAAAAAATTAGGTTCAAGTCAGACACTCAAGAATTCAACTGTCCAAAAGGACAATAACACCCTATGGGAAGTCATTGCAAACACACAAATTCATGGAGGTTTATCAGAGCAGGATTAGAGTATAAAACTACTCACTACATACCTGTTATCCCGGCACTTGGGAGGCTGAGGCAGGAGGATTGCTGTGAGCTCAAGGCCAACCTGGGCTACACAGTGAGGACCTGTTTAAACAAAAAGAAAACCACTCACTAGAAAAAGAACTTAAGAGCACAGTATAAAGAAGAAAATACAATATATTGAGAAAGATCACTTTCTAGACTGTTACTGAGAAAAGTCACTGAAAATGACCATAAATGGTAAAGCATCACCAGAAGGTTTGATCCTTTCAAAGATTTAGACAAGTTGGTAACTTGCGAATTTCTGATATTATCTTAGCAGTATGAAAAGTATTCTCCTTTTGTTCCATAACAAGTTCCACTTTCTAAGTCATTGTATTTGTATTTCTTTTTTTCTCTTTCAGTACATTCATTTTCTAAACAAATGTATGGGATTTTATAAATCACTCACTGCACTGTAGATGAACTATAGTTGTAATATAATGTTTTCCTTCACCCATTTTGTGTCTAACAAACTCTGCTTTAGGTACATTAAAATTGGAGTGGTGTTTAATAGTTTCCAGTGAATATATTTAATGAAGCTGAAACTCAATTTGTGTTTGAGGATATGCTTTGTGCTTTTATCTAGATTTTCAAGATCCAGGGTGGTTCAATTAAATTACCAGAAAATCCTGTACTCAAATACTGATGTCAAGAACTCACTGGAAAGTATATTCCATTCAAAATAAAAAGAAGACATACTGTGCAGGCCTAATACAAGAACCTTTCCCTAAGGCCCGGGGATATAGCTCAATGGCATGGTACCTGCCTGCAAAGTGTGAGGTCCTGACTTCAATTCCTGGTTCCAAAAGAAAAAAGAAAATAAATTTTCCCCTATGGCTTGTCATGAAGTTATTTTCCTGTCAGAAATACTATATTATCTTTCTATTTAGATGTATGCGTATTGTGAGTTTAAAGTTCAGCTTTTATTTACCCTCTGTGGATATTGTTGCCTAGAACATTTATTAGAAACCCATCTTTTTCTCATTTACTTAGATATGCCTACTCCTGGTTTACCTCTTTTTCAAGGATTTATTTCTATTTGTATGCAGACTTTATTTAAGCCGAGAATTTTCCTCCCAGTACCTGTTCTTTTAGTCACGGTGCCACTCTATAAAGAGGAAAAAAGGATAAAAACTGACCTAGCTATGCAGTACATCAATCTTCCCAGAAGTACCTTGAGTAAAAGTATATAGATACATTTGAAAAACAAGGGTGGCAGATGTCAGGGAATATGTGTCTGCGGAACAGTCCAGGGCGTAGGAAGTGAGCAGGTGACGTAGAGCACAGCTGAAAATAGTTGTGTATGGGATGGCAGCGGCAGAAAGGGCAGACATGGGGGAGCGTTACAGGGGATACGGCAAGACAAGCGTGATGCGGGGGCAGGTCCCTGAGGAGTGCGTCCTCTGGGTAGTTGTGCGTGTCTGGGATTTGTTCCATGAAGTACTTCCCCAGCCCGTGAGGTCTTGGATATCTGGATGACATTTAGAACTCTGGTGATGGAATGAGGCCCTGGTTTTGATTCTTATATTAGGCCTGCATAGTATGTCTTATGTAGGGGGAAAAACACTCTTAACTGTTGATGTGAGCAAAGACTTTGTAGAAGAAGTCGAGTGAAAGTTTCTTCTATTCCTTTCCTGTAGGGCTTCTGCTCAGATGCAGAACTGGACCATAGGAGTGGTAGTAATGCCTGCCTGCTGGTACATTACGAGAACTAAGTAAACTAATAAAGCACAGAGTATGCATACAAATAGTTGTGGTAGCCTAACTACTAAGTCAGTATTTGCTGATACGAATGTTTTTTTACAAAAGAGGTATTGTTTGCTTCAATTATAATAAGCTTTATTATTTTATGTAACAGTGGAAAAAAACACGGATAGTCTGACACAAATATTTTCCTAATTAGATTTTTATTTCATTGTTAAGTAAAAAGATCTTTCAGCATATATGAATATTTGTCTTATGCTACTCCAGTGAGAAGAAAAATACAAAACAAAATAAATTGGCAAAAATTTCTTTCATTTTGATCAAACTCTTCCAAATAATTTTTCGGATCACCTTGCCCACGATATTTCCCATATAATCATCACCTGTGCTAATCTGAAGCTATGGTAATGAATTATTCTTAGGAAGCCCCCCACAACTCCTGTGAGATGGCCTTTCAAACCTACCCATGGCCCCTCTGCAGATTTTCATTCCTGATAGTTTCATTGTGGGCTCCAATTGGTGTTTTGTAGAGGAAGCTCACATGTGTATACATGAGGACAGTCACAATATTATTGCCTTGTTTTCAATGATGTTTCCACATTACTACTTTTAAGATGCATCTGTATTTTAAAAGTGTGAACATGCACCCTATCATTGGTGAAATAGCTTTCCCTGTGACTCCTCATTTCACAGGTACAACCCAACCTCAGCACAACCCGTTTGTGTTCTGGTGCATTCCTGAGGACACATGCTTAAACAGCATTTCAAATCAGTTGACCAGTTCCAGTCACCTTCTCCCTAACTACTAGATGCCACGAAGTAGGTGGCAATGCCTTACCCCTGTGCATGTGTGTGGCCCAAGGGCCTCTTCTGTCCTTGCCAAGAGGAGTGCTGACCTTCTCTCCTTTCAAACAACACACTCCCTAGCCATGAGAGATACTTGTGGACTCCTGTCGTTAATATTTCTATGCTACAGTGAGTTGCCACAGATTCATGTTATGTCAGCGTCTGTGTAAACCAGTTTCCTGTGAGAGGGACGCTTACTTTCTTTAATTTTTAATTTTATTAGTACATGTTTGCAGTTCATGCAGCTTCAAATCATCTTGGGGAGTGGTTACACGTGCATACTACAGCTGGCTTTTTCCAAGTCCTTTCTCTCTTCCTTCCCCCACTTTCCTCTTCCACCTGCAATTCCCCTATCCCAGATTTCATTTTTGTTGTTACTGTTAATCATAGCTCATGTTAGGGCATAGAATGTTGACACTAATTGGGGTTATTAGGTTCCTGTGCATGGCTTATCGTTATTTTACTTTTTTCCCCTTCTTCTCCTCCTCACCCCTTGTGTTTTTGCTTTCGAACACTTCTCTGTTGTAAGACATTCATTACCTTGTTCCTTTCTATCTATCCTTTTTTATTCTGTTTGTACTTTGCCTCACTCAAATGAGAGATCCCATATGGTATTTAAACTTGTGGGTCTGGTTTATTTCACTCAAGATTATATTTTCCAGGTGTATCCATTTTTCTAAAAGTGTCTCAAATCTGTGATTCTTTATAGCAGAGTAATATTCCATATATATAGACACCACATTATCTTTCCTTTTTCCTTTTTTTTTTTTTGATACAGAGTCTTACTGTGTAGTGCAGGCTGGCCCTGAACTTGCTTATGTAACCCTGGCTGGCCTCAAACTCAGTGATCCTCCTGCCTCAGCCTCTCAAGTGCTGAGA